TTTATATATCCGCTTATGATTATCAAGACAGTTCTTATTGATGAACTGAATACTCGGATTTGTCTTAGATGCTTATTTTGCATTATCTATCCGCAATGCGCGTAATGCTAATCAATCAGAACGACAATCTACTCTCCAAAGTTAGCAGGTACATCACGAAACTTATTCCCAAACAGTTACATAATTAAACAGAGTAGGATAATTTGTCATTTAAACAAAATAGCACAATTAGATCAGACCAGTCAGAAGTTGTGAACTAAACAATGCACTCTTGTAACCAACAATATTAGGGATACCTATTCACAAAGAGGCACTACTATCTTAATAAAAATAACCTGACTACTTCACTGACATTAACTCACCTACTACACTTTATTCATATCCTATTTCTAAGTGTTTTGTATTAAATGTTGTATATGCAGTGTGAAACTCAACACCTCCTCAATACATAACTGACTATCACTTCAAAAATTAATTTCATTTATTCATTATCATTATCATCATTTATTAACCACATATGAGGCTTTATGTTCAAGTCGTAAGTGATTAATTCAATCAATTCTCATTGACAAATAGATTACCCACGCGTTCAACTTATGTGTGCATAACATTTAGCGTCGCCATTGAAAATCCACATTCCCATATTAAACATCATCGTTCACAAATTCCAAACTTGTGCAACCAATCAACTACATATATGAAGACCTCTAGAACATAGTGGACATGATCAGAGGGTGAAAATAATCACTAAGATTCTACTTGTCAATTCCAGATAATCACCACTCAAATTAAAACTTCTCGGCTATTCCCAGTTACATTGATAAGTCAGTCAATAGTTCGTGAACTCACAAATCAATCTATTATTAAATATCATCTTAGTAATCTGTTTATTAACTGGAGAATGTTTATCTACACATGTTTATATATGGAAATATCTCGTTTATCTCGTTTTCATGGTGCGTAATTTCACGACAAATTCATAAATTATCCAAATGACATGAACCGGTACAAAATTCTCAGGTGGTTTGTTAAATCACTTGAATTCAGTCAAGTCCAACTTTGCAGTCATGGTTCACACAGACACACACACACACACACAACGAGGTTACTGATTTTAACACTGTTTACCCTCTGTGTTGTGGTTAATTCTTTCCTTCTTGCACACACCAATATGAGTGTGGTCTAAAAAATATACCGCTCACATCAATAGGGTTTATCCTGATTTTAACGCATAATCTCGACTACGCCGTTTGCTGAACATCAATCGATCTTCAGTTGGATTTCCGGTATCAAGTCTGTGACTTTTTAATTTCCCTCATTCATTTGGTATTTGTTATATGTATTGTTCTAGAGTTCAACTCTTTTGTGCTTACTTTTTTTTATGCAATAACTGTTGCCACAGCAATTTTTACCGCCCAACACTTTTTCAGTTACCGACCACTCATCTGAGCCATTTAAATCAGCCTCATCAGATGATTAACACTTTTAGTAATGAGTATTGTCATTTGATCCATGATTCGTGGTATAGAAAGCCCTTGTAGAAACATAAACTGCTTTAGCGAATTCGCATTAAATGAACTCGCCAACGTAACAATATAGAAAATACATATTTCTACATATCTCATAATTCTGAATAATTAAATTACTTAATATTTTAATATCAATAGTAATAACGGTCCATGACCAACCAGTCACAAACCATCACTTATGCAACGACTTAACATCCATTAGTTAAATTAGTGTCATCCCGCTTTCTTTGCACCTTAAAACGAAATCTTGCACGCGGCAGTTATTAACCAAACAGTAATCAATATACTAGGAGCCTTAAACTCTTGTTCCGTTTCAACAATACACAAGTAACCGATTATAAACAAGTGCAAATTATTACAATCAGACTTAGATCAAGTAGAGAATTTGAGAATGTTCAATTATTTTGAGCAACATTTCTTCGCGTCTAGTTTGTATTCATTTCCAAACAGTAGAAATGTACAGAATACATTAAATAACAATTATTTCAACAAGCGGTTGCTACAAGCTATAGCATACTTATAAAAGAACTACAAAACAACTAGCTTCCGTAAACCCCTATTCATCACATCTACTTTCCCATAATGTTACGATTTAGGTAACCTATATACGTTTAATGTAAGTAAAACCATTTAGAAAGAATATAATACCTGAATATAAAGCGGCATTGAAACATAATCATGAAGTGTCCTTGTATCTTCCTAAACTATTGCGAACATGGTATTCAGTCGAGTAACTTTATTTCCCGGCGTTATTTCACTCAACTTAGATACCACTTTTTGTTCACAAGTCAAGGCAAACAGGTTATTCCACAAAACGATATACAACAGAGAATTTAATAGATCATTAGGAGTTTTGATTGTTACATTTACCTAACTCAATCTATCACTTGGAAATTAACATGAGCGTTGCTTAATTTGACAAAACTTAAGGTTCATTTACTTGTTAAACACAAAAAGAAAAAACTTGTCTCCAGTTCGGTCCAGCTCAAACGCATAACACATCAATATCAACGTCAATATCAAAAATACTTTAAACAACAGAGCCTTATTTGTAAACAATGAGATGCTGAAAACTTCAATTAAATTAGCTAATACTAGGTTCGTCAGTCCAGAAAAAAAACACATGAGAACTAAGCATTGGAATAAGTAATAACAGATGACTAACCGACAATGAAACTATTGTAATAAACGACTAACATCTATAACTCATTTCCACACCGAGGTAATCACCACGTTTCGAGGCTTATTTTCCTTCCTTCCTTCCTTCCTTTACCCTTTCCGTTTTTCTTAAAACATGACTAAATAAGATCTACGCATGAGTCCATAACAACAACAACACGACCTGAGCTGAGCTGTAATATTCTTTTTTACTTGATGGGCGCAGCTATTTTCCATAAAATACCCTTACATGATTGAGCGTTTATGGCCTCACAACATTATTGTGGTGAGTTCTTCTACTAAAGGGAAGGATAGTACATGAATGTCCGGTGGTGAAGTCAGTTTAATGCATAACATAATTGGAAAACCTCGAATATATTATCGCCTTGATCGTGAGTGAGTGAGTGAATGAATGATGTGTGAACGCACATCTATCACCTGCTACCCAATCAACGAATTTCTCACGTCGCTTGACTGTCCTGTGAATATGAAATTCAAATCAAAAGTTCGTAAGAAAAGAAATTCGCTCTGATTAAAATGCTTTTACAGGAACCGTGACAATTTTAAATGAGAATGTACATTACTAGTCTTATAGGGTAGTTCCTAAAGGCCAAAATTACGTTAATGCAAACAACTGCATCTTATACCGCCCTACACTAATGCATTGCTCGCATGTAACACTTAATCCTTCCTTCCAAATTTAAAACTTTACGAATTACCCTATCGTTGCTACAATTCTCATTTCGACTACAAGTTCCGCAATTGTTACTACTTTCAATTCACATATATTAGTTAAGCGGGTACTATTCGACATAAATGAAAAGACAAGCACAGGTAATAAGCACAATCGGAAATTTCGGTCTTATTGTGTATTCCAGACTAGTATTCAAGATTACAGTGATTATCCAAAATGAACTATTTTGCCAAGAGATTTTATGCACTTTAATAAAGCAAATGAGGGATCGGTACCCAATTTCGCTGATTTTAGCATCGCACTGAGGGTAAAGGAGTTGATTAGAAGCTTACTAACAGTCAGTTGAAGACGGTAAGCTAAAATTGCATGCAGCTCTGTGAGATGTTGTACTTATCAGCTCTGGGTTTTACGGACTCGTAAGGTTTTTTTGACGCTCATCGGTGAAGCGTAATTCTCTGTAGCGAAAATTTTTACAAAACTTAACGGTCATGAAACCTGGTGATTGGATCCCACTGTCAAATTGTACACAATACCGACACATTTGGTTGACACCGAGAGCTGTTATCACCTATCAGCGGCTAAAATCCTAGTATGGTTGAAACAAAACGTGAAATAATAGTTCGTTAATTCACAATTTTTATAAACATTGCGAACAGTAAAGTGTACTTTGGCAGCTCAAATTCACCTTCGTTACAGAGACTCTGACGGCTATATCACGCCTCTTGACAGCAAAATATCTATCATTCTGAAATAACTGTCTTATTAATTTCTTAAAAAGGATTACAAAATGCATATTATGAGCGTTTGGTTAGGCATATATCAGCAGATAGATTTACATGGTTGTCATGATTCTTTGCTTGCATACACTTTTAAAAATTGTATCAACGGATTATGTGGGTGATAATGATAATATGACTGGTTAAATTAATCTACGGATAGAGAAAGTCAGATTCTTATGTCAGTTTGGTAACACTTCACAAAACTATTTTGGGCATAAGAGCTGAGTAGTACAACGATGTGACCCATGCTAATAAAACATGACCTTGAGTAAGGGATTTTTAGTAACCATATATGATCACCGTTTACGAAGGACTGTTGGCACTGAATAATAATCATAATTCAATTAACCCTACCTCCTTAGAATAGTAGTTATGGCACGCTGAATGTATACCAGTGATTATTACGGCACCTTTGATTCAATGACACTGAGACAGTGTGAGGGAAGAAAGTTTATGATATGGTGTAGTGAAGGATAGCTTAATCGAGTTAGTGCGTTACTGTAACATTCCAGATAGGACCTCAAAAATAATTTGATTCAGTGACATGGTTTAGAATACAGTACGTCGTGGTACTATTAATTCTCGATAGCAAATCTCAAAATTTGAGATGACGCACGCCTTAAGTCCAAGACATCCATAATGGTTATGACATTAATTGAACTGCCCAATTAGATGGTTTCTATTTCTTGTTAGATGATTTTTAAAGTATATCCCCTACCTTCCTATTGTATTAAATGATTCTCACGTTACATACATATATTAAAATTTAATAGAACTTATGGGAAGTTCGCGATCCTCTAAGTCAAATATCATATGAAATGTTTACTAGAAATCCAGACTGATGTAACAAATACTTTATCGTGTTATGAAAGTTAAACAAGAACAAATTTATCAAAATTTACAGGAACTATGAACGAATAAAGCCAACGATATACATTTCACCGTCGTAAAATGCAAGCGCACCAAATATGAAGAGTTAAAACATCCTTAACATTGATAATCGACTGAACGATAATAAACATTTGTTTCAAAATCCTATAAGTGATCATTAATGAGAAAACGGGAATCCTAAACTGGATATTTCCCTTAGAAACGTATTCACAGAACTTACTGGCAGTTGACCAGTGGACTAACTTTCAAATGTGCTTACAAAGCGAGATTTTATAATTTACACCATAAGTTATGTTCTCAATTTGTGAAATAATTGGTGTAGTTTGATATCATCTGGAAACATTGGCTTAGAGTACGTTGAAGGAAATGTTAGCAATGATCTTACAATAAACACACTCAAAATATAGAAATACTAATGAATCGAGAGGATGTACGTAAATGTTTTGGTACAAACTAACTTAGTCATTGGGTACGATTTGACCCATATATGAGAAAAAAGACTAGGACTTATTCAAGGGATTGATATATTGAGTCAAATTCTAGGTTCAAATCTGAGAAAATAACTAAGTTACACAAAGATTTTCAAAAATGCAAGCAGTTACTTTACATAAAAAGTTTACAAGCAGTCCTACAATATAAAATAAATAACAATCTTACCTGTTACTTCCGGTGATCAAAATGCAATACCAAGGGTCGACCGGCTACGCGATATCCATTTAGTCCTCTGAGCGCTCTATCAGCTTCGTAACTTGTTTTGAAATCAACTAACGCTTCGCCAACAAACTGTCCTTGAGGATCACGGCGTAGTCTTATCGAACCCGGAACGAAGTAATAATCCCGCATTATTCCAGCTAGTTGATCAACAGTACATGCGGGTGGAAGATTTCCGACAAAAACTGTAACAAAGTCAGGAACTGGGCGACGATGTGGAAGAGGAACAGGTTGTCTCGGAACAGACGGAATATCTGATTGGTGTGGTGGGATGGAGTGTAAATTATCCACAGGAGGGCGGAACCTACGGAAGGAGTCGTGATGGTCATCAAAAGGGGCAGGTACAGAGGGACGGTCATAGTAAGAGTCCTCGTACTTGGCTCTGCCTACACTTGGGGGACGGCTCTCAAATAGATTCGGTGACGGACGCTGGCGTTGGTCCCAATGGATGCGGGATTCCCGTGGATCTCTGTCACGAGATCTTCCAGGTCTGTCAAAGTTGAGTTGTTCATCTTTTGAATCAACACCCAAACGGTTCAGCATTTCCTCTCGAGAAATGGCTTCTATATGAAGAGATGGATGCAACTGTTTTGCCTTAGAACCTTCAGTCGATGCTTCACTTACAGCACGACGACAGTTGTTTTCACTAATGAAATCGATGAAAGCAATATTATCATCAGGAGCAAGTCGTACCGCATCTCCAGGAATTAGGATGGACGGAAACAGATTCAGAACTTCAGAATCTTTTACTGTGCGAGAAAACCCGCTGACACAAGCACATGTCAAAAAGCCACCAGGTGGTTTAGTAGACTCCGAATCAACATCACGAGGAACAGGTGGTTTGATAGACTCTTTGGTACTTTCAGATTTACTACCGATCGCTAAGGCTGAATAAGCAGTGACTTGCAACTTTGATATTGGTGTTAAGCGCACTGATGGAAGTCCCGAATCTGGTCTAAATGGCCGTGGTTTAGCAGAAAGAAGGATTTTGATATCCTCTGCAGAAGGAAGCGTAACTAGTGCCCTAGTCAAGTTGGTACTGCGTGGTGCAGACTTATCATTTGGAGGGAACCGAGCCAGTACAACATTTTCACAAGTCAGACCAGGGGCACCCAAAAATCGAACTACTTCTGTCTTGGTGGTATCAGATGGAAGCTCAGCTAGTTCAAGACAACCATCGTTGTAATGAGGAGGGTAGGACTGATCAGGTGGTGGAAGTTTTTTGGCAACCTCTGGGGGGCATTTTGAAGTAAAGTTTGTATCACTAACACTGTAAAATTCACTTAGAGTACATTTGACTACTTTTATCACGTCTCCTTTGTGAGGACGATTATTAAAACTGAGTGCTCGTTCGTATGAATCACGAGTTGTCATCATTATAAACACATACCCAGTGGGACGTTGTAGCAAATCTTCTTCGACCCGGATACCCCATTTCGGAACAACCTGGACGCCACGTAAAACTTCGAAAACAGTCTTTATACCAGCTTCTGGGGCGGGCAAACAAACTCTTAGTACGTAATCAGTTTCTCCAGGCACTATGTCAGATGGGCGAGCATATGATGAGGGTTGTGGTCGACGTTTTCGTGGGTACTCTTCAAAGTCTGAAGTCTGATGTTGAAATGGACGCTTTGGTCCTGAAACTGGAGCATTATCGTTGAGCCACGGAGGTCTGACAGAAAAATCGCGTTCCTCTTGCAACCTAGAATTAGTGCATGCAGTTTCACGATCAAGAGGATGACCCGGGCCACTTCTAAATTCTGATGGAAACGGGTGGGTATTTCCATGTCCAAATTCTCGTGATTGAATATCATGTGGAGGGAACCGATCATTGAATACTCTAGGAGATTGTGCACGGTACTTATCATAATCTGTCGTCATACCATCCGAAACGTGTAGCGCAGAATAATGATCAGCATAAGAATCCCTCGGACTATTTTTGCCTTCATTGTCTTTGCCTCTCGAGACGAAGTTGTCTTCAGAAGTAATCGATGGCGGGTGCCTACTATAATCGTAATCATCGCGATAAGATCTATGTCCCAAATCACTTCGGTTATTCAAGTATGTATCTCTTGGACCATAGTCGTTAGTTGGCGGGAAGTCTCGTATCTCATCATACCTTGAATGCATATTAGGTTGATTATTGTAACTATAATCTCGATCCTGACTAAAATGAGGTCTATCTGGAGGTAAATTTTCGGGATATTTGTCCGGGTTGTTACGTGCAGCTGATTCAATTTGTCCACGAGGGGGATCCAGGGTTACACCTTTGCTATAGGTGTAAGGATACTGCTTGGAAGAGTCATCAAACGATTCACGAGTGGCTCCATTACGGTACGATGGGAAGGAACTGGGCAGTGTAGGAGCTGTCACATCTAGCGCATGCATAGTTTCAGTCTTTTGAGATATAGATTGAGATAAAACCGGATTTCCTCCACTAGAAAATAAAGCTGAAGTTTTTGCAGATTCGATTATTGACTGCATTTCGGCTTTACTGCTCAGAAACAGGCGAACAGATGCCCCGTTGATCGTTTGTCGATCAAGCAGCATAGCTTTTCTTGCATCTTCATCTGTAGCAAAGGCAATAAACGCGTCACCTTCCGTGCCCCCGACGATGTGCACGCCCCCTTCAGGAATGGATAACCCGCTAAAAAAGCGTCGAATATTTGAGGCGTTTGCTGAAATTGGTAGGTTTTGGAGTCGAATGATGACAGACATTCTTTGTTCTGCAACAAGAGTAAATTAAAATGTATCACTGGAACCCGGAGATTTCCAGAATAAAAAAATTAGACAACATTGGATTAGTGTTTAATATGACTTGTCCTTTACCATGTCGATATGAATAGGTATAGATAAAAAGGTGAAACATTCCTTAAACTTTTCACTGGAAAACGGTCTCTTCATCTGATTTTTAAGACAAAATAGAGATTAAAAAATTCGTACTTTTATCACGACCTATTTTTCACAGGCTGGCTAAGTCATTAGTTTTGATCAACACAAATTTCGAAATTTCATACTATGAGCAACGCATAAACGAATGAACGGCTACAGAAACATTTCCAAATGGAAACACGAACGATTGCATGTTTTACTCAGCCCAGATTTAGAGGGGTAGCGCAGTGGCTATAAATCTACTTACAATTACTTCAGTTTAGAACCCGAGTAGGGTCACTAATTCATAAAGGGTGACTTAAGGGACATAGAGCAACCAGTTAGTTCGAGTAATTACCGAATACTCTAAAGGAATTAATACTAAACAATACGTTGAGTTATTAATGATGTACAAAACTACCATTAAGTTGGTGATTTGATTTTTGGAATTTCCGTTAGTCGGAGGACACTGAGGGTTTACCTAGGGTAGTTGGAAAATCCAGATGTTACACGTGGGTTACAGGATCTTAGGGAAACGAAAGGCGTAGGGACCTATTGTTGATCACCGGCTCCAATGGGACTGCATTTGCTAAAGTTGTCCCATCGGCTTGTGGACTCGAACTCTAGGTCGAAGGCTCAAGGAGTGGCCCCCAAAAAAAACCTCATGCCTCGGTCTGGGCACACGGGCAGTATCCCAGCCCTCATACAAATCGGATGACGAAGTGTGGCGCATATGTATTTGTGCCCTCCTGTATCATTATATATATATATATATGCTCAAAGAGCTGGAATTTAATATTTGACCTCCCAAATAGAAGTAAACTGTACCACGTGAATGGGAAATCTAAACGCGGGACCAAAAAGGTTAAATTATCGGTCGAATCTTGTCCACTGGATAGCCTGTGTTTTCTGAAGGAAAATAAACAAAATGGACTATAATCACCCAAGGCGATTATGAAGTCATGACCTCAGCAGTGCTTGCTTTTACTGATGCAGTGAAAATCTAAGACTAACGGGAAGTACTGTACTTAGATACATTGCCCTACATCCAAAGTCAGATTTGACGTTTTCTAGTCTTAGTACAAATCGATCAAGAATAAATGCACTGGTACAATCCGAGCCACTCAGAAGTACGAAAATCGAAACGACTATCCTTATATGTCTATTACAAAACCAAAATGCACCCATGGATCACTAATCTATTTACGAAAGTAAGTGCATCGCGAATGATAGAAAACAATGTTAAAGCAAAAGCCATAGCTGACTATTTTGATACGATCTTTACACATGCTCCTAATTTTAATTTAGGATTAGCCCCACATGCAATTAAAGAATGTTGTTTGTAATAACTTCGAAATGCAAAATGTTACTTCAGGAATGGGTTGCATCGACACTCGAACTAATGATAGGAAGTGAAGTAGTTGAGCGTGTCGACAACCACTTATTTTGGGATTATCATCAGCTCTTGTGGTCCGGTGTGCGACAAAATCCCAGCATGAACACATAGTGAAAGCCAGAGCGGCTTATGCCAATCTGGGCCATCTTTGGCGCCTTCGTGATGTTAGTCTGGCTGTAAAAGGTCGGATCTACAACGCGACGGTGAGAGCAGTTCTGCTCTATGCTTGTGAAACCTGGCCTCTCCGAGTTGAGGATGTTAGACGACTCTCTGTGTTCGATCATCGTTGTCTCCGAAGGATTGCTGGCATCCAGTGGCAACACCATGTCAGTAATGCAGAGGTTCGGCATCGAGTGTTCGGTCACAGAGACGATAATGAAATTGGTGTCACCATCTTGAAACACCGACTTCGGTGGCTTGGACATGTTTTACGAATGTCGTCCCAGAGAATTCCACGTCGTGCATTATTTGCCGACTCTGGGACTGGTTGGAAAAAGCGGAGAGGTGGTCAGTATATGACATGGTGTCGTGGTATGAAAGAAAGCTGCAAAGGGCTAGCTTCTGTTGGTCCTTCACGACTTCCTGGCTGTGGTCTGAGAGATGGTGTAACGCAGTGGCTGGAGACGTTATCAGATATGGCTCGGATAGAAGCCAGTGGCGATCTTGCTGTAACCTTCTTTTACTTTCTTCATAAAAAGTGGTTGTATCTTCCCTAACTGAAAGATCTCTTCTGATTGTACCTTACCGTTTCCCCCACCATTTTTCTCTCTCTTTTTCTTTATAATTCCCCACGTTCATTACTTTCTTTTTCTTTCTCTTTTCTCCTTCTCTTCAAATTATCATTGTTTTGTGTGGCGCATATATATTTGGTGCCCCCCTGTACCAATATTTGTGTTCAAATAAATAAATAAATAATAATAGCCAGTGGTCTCCAAATGTGAAAAACAGGTTATTTAGCAACAATTCGAAGTAAGACTTCCCTTGAGGAACATTCAACACCGACCCTAACCTACGTAATCGGAATGAAATAAGTTAAGATGTAAATTTTGGTGATTCACGTTACTGTGACACCATTACAACCGACAATATTATAGCCAATTACAGGCGAAACGTGGGTGGTTACCCCTAAATTAAAGAACCCGAGAAATGACCTACTTTAGGTGATGAGCGATATTTGGTATCACCGGGAAAAAACAAAGCAACTTACACGAAGCAATATGTATGTCCCGAAGTCGACCAAGATGGACTCCAGTAGCGCAGATAAACAACTAGATGCGAATGTCATAAAGTATTTTAATTAAGTGTAGATAAATTATGAGAAAATGATTTTTGAAGAATTGTGGTAAGCAATTCTAATGGGTTGATGATCCCTCTAAGCAGAGATTAAAGGTTATGAAAAAAGAAATGGGGGGAATAAATGATAAATTATATAGAAGCCATTCTAGTTCGTAAAGAAAGTATTACACCACTATTAAAAGTCTTCAAGATGGTAGTTGGACTGTTACACATTTCGGGAAATCTTCAGAGACTGACTATTTCCACCACCAGACACTAAATATGTTTCATTACGACTGGTCTTATTTTAAGATTGCTATCCAATTATATACTTTACCACTAATTTTGGATCTAAACTTTCCCAATTCTTGTTATTGTTTATTATTTTCATCCTAGTTACCGGTCGTTAATTTGAATTATCAATCTGTAGACCTGTCAATTTCACCGTGGTAGTCAAGATATTTTTGAGAATAATTAAGAGGACCACTAAGAAGTCCATAAAGACCACCAACTTGATTTTATCAGAGGATCGTCGTGCATAGCCAACCTCATTATGGCAAGAAAGAGATGGACAAAGTAGCTTTAGTGGTAAATAAATGAAAACCGCATGTATCTGATGTCACGAAAAATTATTACTGTTCAGAAGAAGGGGACAAACTTCCACATTTACTCATGCCCAAATAAGTCCAATCAGGTCTACTGAAAGACTCTTAAAAGGAAACATGTTTTGTCATGAATCCAACACAGTACCTAAAACTGAACTTCTAAATTTTCTCAGTTTTTCTTTAATAAACTAAGGCTCCAACCTGCATGCACCTATTTTCCATTTAGGCTGGACTTGAAATCTCTAAAGCGGTATATAAATCCCAAAATGAATATTCCTGTCGGTCTCCGACAATGTTTTACTGGACACACCCTAGCTGAAGGCGTTAGATCACGTATGTGCATCAGATCACCATTGGGTACACCCTGATACACATCCTTCGCAACAGCTAGCCAGACTAAGTCAAACGCCTTTTGGCATTACGAATATTTTCTAAATGTATCTTCGAACCCCTACATCCCTGGTTTCTGATTTTACAAGGCCTGGGTCTTTTGATCAGAAAGAATAAATTCCAAGTGTTCTCCATAGAAATCAGTATCTAATGAAGTACTGCATACATATATATGTCATCAAATTCCCAGTGTTACCATATGCTGGTGGTATATAAATCTGGAGAAAGCACTTGGGAAGGCATATATGTGTGCGCTTTGAGTCAATCTAAACGTTCTGGTTAGCTGGTCTAAGACCTAGAGATTAGAGATATTGTAGGGCCAGTGAAATTCCACTGGGCCCTAGCCAAATCATCCGGCAGTTGGGTCATTGAATATCTAAAAAATCATCGTTCCTCGTCAAGGTCAAGGACCACCAACGCGCAACAGTTAATCGTACGCCATGAACTGGCCCATGAGGCAGTGGTCTTACTTTCGCTTGTATCTCTTTTAACTAATATATCTCTGTATTAACATCCTCTGTGTTGTACAGTCGTCAAACCATCTATAGTACCTCGATACGTCAATGGGGTAATCCACGTAAGGTGCAGACCGCGAAGTGTGACTTCGAAGTAAGCTAGTTTGTCACACCACTCACGTCTAACTCGAGTAAGCCTCCAATCATTTCGACATAGATCATCTACGTTGGTGATCTACAATATGAAGTAAAATGAAATTGCATTGGATAATAGTCGTTTCCTCAGTTTTGTCCCACAATAATCTATAAGTAATAGTGAGTCAAGTTCCGAAGACCGATGCCCACTTCCGTGAATCGCCGCTAAGATGTTCAGAATCCTACCGACATTATGTTATAAAAATAAGCAGTCAATTGAATGGATCCAAACAAGTTACTAGGTCATAGCAGATCCTTGTACTTGACGTGATAGGCAGGCATAAACAAACTTTTATGTAAGTAATACCATTCATATTTTTGTCTACTGACTGCTGAAACGTGTGTAACTAAATAGTTTGACTGCATATCAAACTGTCTTCTGATTTCAAGACCTGAAGAGAGGGTAAATATTATCCTAACAAGAAACGTTTCCTTATTTTAGGGGAAATATTTTTATATTCTCATTAACAGGTCAACTGGAGCACTGCATTGCTAGGTGAGACAATAAATACACGGGAATTTGAGGTATTTGTACAAACTAATGATTCTTTTGTACTTGGTTGTCCTCTGATTACGATTCCCAAATTTATTCATTTGTGCTCACACAGTTCCACTTAACTTAAATTGCACTATTACCGGAATTCCTAGTTGGTACATTAATTTGAATTCTCCCAATAATCGTACTGACTTTACGATGGAGCCTGTGTTTTAACAATCGGACATACATTCAAATTCTGAAGCTTTCAAAGATTACATTGAAAGGTTTGAAATCTGAAGTTTCACCAGGAAAGATGTTAAGGATGACAAATCTCTGGTTTACTTCCTTACACTCATCAAAAAGGATGCCTTCAGTTTACTATAAACGGGTACTTTTATATAGGTCTATTTCACTTCCCTACGCAACTTTCAAGGAACTACTAGTAAATTATGTAAAATGTACTGATTTCAGCTCCGTGAAGAAGCGAAATTCCAAAGAGTACTTATCCAGAACATCAAGAATTCTACATCACTTGGTCGTTCTAATCCAATACATACTAAAGGTCATGCAGATAACAAGTTATTGAAAAGTTGAAAAGCAGGTTACAGAGATGTGCACAGGTTCGGTAAATGCCTAACTTATGATAAATTTCATCTACGTAGTCCATGTATATTTTGTCGTGCCAAATGCTCTAAGCGTGGAAATATGGGACACATAAAATCGGTTTGTGGAGCTACTGTTCGCTTTGCCACAAGTGATTATAAACCCCGTAGTTCTTATTTCATTAAGTTGGGCGTTTGCAGTGATCGTTTATCTTTATCCACGATTTCGGAAGGCAATGTTCACTTTCAAAAGCAACTATATACCTCTCTTGGTTCATTCGATGGCTTTATTGTTGACACAAGTAGTTTAAAATCATATATCAGTTCGTAATCAAATGAAGCTTTGTTAGCCTTGCATTACTCTGAAACTAAACTCCAACCGAAATAAACCCATACTTCATGTGATATTTGCCGGAAAAGCTGGAGGACCTCGTATTCAGAAAATAACTGGGACGGTGCAATTAATACAAGCGCATGAAATGAAAGTCAAAATCATCATGGGACAAAATTTTCTTATGAATAAAATTCTTATCAGATTTCTCATGATGTTTCATCAAATATGAGTTGTCTTAATGATTCACATTTTTTCGATGGAAACTCTTATAAAAATGAGAAAAATATGTTGAATGGGTCAAACCGTGATCGGAAATCTAATGTGATTTTGAGTAGATGCTGATTTTTCTCATGATACATTTTTCTGAAAAGAAATTCTTAACAAATTTGGGGAAGATATTCCAGAAGTATCAAACCTCGAAGTCATATAAAATGCAATTTGTCCTCATAATCTTTTTTTTATGGGAGACTTGGTCAGTATGAAACACAAGTTCTAAGTAATTTCAAACGTGACTGCAGTTCACATGATTTCATATCAAATACTGTATATCCTCAACATAAAAACACTTCTACTGGATCCTTTTGTCAGTGTGAGAAATATGTTTGAAATAAAGCCACATTATTTGTAACTTGAGGATATGAATATCCAACATTTTTATGGGTGAGAATAGTGTTGGAAAATCTATGGTTTCACGTGTTGGTCAGATACAATGCCAGGAACCAAGTGAGTCTGTTCCAACTTCGGTTGTTAATTCCAACACTAATTAGTAAATCCTGAACCCCGCAGAGTCTACATCCAATGCACAGTCGGACAGACACACGATGAACCTAAGAAGTACGGTCGATTGCAGAAATTTAGATTCTACTTTAAGCTCTGGCACATGTGTTATTTGATTCTTTTGTATTCACGCAGTTCTAAATGCTGTAAATTTCATTATTTCTAGAATTTTTACTTAGCACAACAATTCAAATATTTTTAATCATCACAGAATTTGACACTGATATTTTTGCACTCTGCTCACAATTTCAGCTCCTAGAGAAATCCATGATTCCATTTGAGGCTTTATCAAATTTAGACCATTCACAATCATAGGATGTGAGATAATAAATCGTCCATCTATCAAAACGTCAGAGAATCTGAAGAACTTAGTGAGCAGGAACAGATCGTAGGTCATCATTCAAATCCTGAAGTCATCAATAAGTCTTGGTCAGCTTAATATTGTGGGTGAAGCAGTCTTTAAAAAGATTATAAACTCCTCCATGCTACAATTAACACTGGATGCACAATGCCTCATTGAACACGCATTGAGAATAGGATTATGGAGTGACATCCCTACAGTCGGGTCGTATATGATACACGGCATGCATAGCGGAGAAACGTCAGCAGGTCTCATCACAGTGAAATTCATCACGAGTGTCAAAAATGTCGCAGGAACCGTCATTCATAAAAGTTGTGGCAGGTAACCGCAACAGAAAGGATTAAGATATCGAAACAGGTCACACAAGTCCAGACAATCTGAACAGTTTTGTTGGTATCACTGGATGTTTGGTCCCGAATCAAGTAAGTGCAGTCAGCCATACACCTGACTCAAACTGATTCTTAAGAAGCTGGGAAACAGCTCTTCCACAGTCTGTGACTGCTGAGGAGATACTTATAGGTTTGTTTGTCAGACGTTAATGACAAGGATCGTAGCCCGGACTTTATAGTATGTACACGTGCGGTGGTTTATGTTTTTCATCGAACACTCAACAAAACAAAAATTGCGATATTTGGGCAAGAAAATTAGGGTTTGTGTTATAGCAGGAACTGAAATTATCCAACTTGTTAGAAACTTATATCGAATATTCCCTCTTTCAATGTTTTGGATAAGTTTGTTTTGCTTAATATTTGAAGTGGTCTGTCAATTACCTAGTGCTCGTACATT